GCAGATTCTGTGTGATTTTCTGATTCCAAACTCTCCCTCACCAATGTACCAAGATCTAAGCCGATAAAACGGTAAACGATCGGGAAAAAAGGAAAAATGATTCTATGAAAGAAATAGATTTGATGATTTACGAGTTTTCTCACTCTTTCACCTGTTTTAATTCCTTCTTTTCAATAAATTGTGGATTTTTTCATTAAAAGATCGCCGGAAATGCACTGAAATTCGGAAAAATAATTTGTTCTGCTCTTTTTTGGGTTCGATATGATCACAATTTGTCAGAATTGAAAATCGGCGACGTGATGGACAAGATGGACTTGCAAATGGACGACAAGATGGACTTGCAGTGTAAATGTGTACTGTGTGTGTGTGCACTGTAATGACAGACTAGCTTCTTCTTTTCAACTAGCTATTGGGTTGGGGAGAATGAAATGGCGCCTTTGGGGAGAATGAAATTTAAAAGAACTTTAAAGACACTCTTTGCAAGCCTTCTTTAAAGATACGTTTCACATCCGCGCGAAAATGCGATCGCCGTTACATTTGCTCACGGTAATCTATAAACTGTCAGCTAGAGAAACCGGCTGGAGGGATCTTCCTGAAAATTTGGCAGCTTATGTAATTGAGTATGCTCGATATTTTTATCTAAACACTAAAGGAGGTTTATGTGGAAGAAACTGTTCAAATGTTCAACTGTTCAATGAGTCGAACTCTTGACCATTTTGATTAACGGTGCTTGGGAGTAAACTCCACGAAAGAAAAGCTTTGTGGAATCTCTCAAAAAGCATTTTGTAGAGAAATAGTGGAGCCTCTTAAGGAAACAAAAGGCACGTCTGCGCGAAATAAGACGAAAAATGCGATCGCCGTTAAATTTGCTCACGGTAAGTGCTATTTGATGCAAAAAAAAATGTCCTGAATTCAAATTTGAAAGAATTTTTCGAATCCGCCTGACAGACTTTTTTTAAATCGAAAAAAATCGAAAAAATCACTATTTTTCCATATAAACGCCAAAATTGCCTCTCTTTTACAGGTTGGTTCTCCACGAAAAGGAAATTTTGGTGAGCGTCATATACCGAACTTTATGCTCAAGGGTCTTGTGCACATTTTGACACCAAAACGAGAACAATTGGGTGAATCTGTGAAAAGTTGATGCCTTTTGAACGCAAAAGTAGCGTTTTTCAACTTTCTGCGCGCTAAAGCGTGGGTAAACTATCGGAACTATTAAAAAAAAAACAAACAAATGTGTTTTTATGAATTTTTTCAATTCCTTTTTGTTTTTCTTCACTTCAATCAAAATTTTGGCTCTTTGTTTATTGTTTATATTGTTTTATTGTTTCCAACTGATGCCCCCTCTACCTGTAAAACACAAATCATTCGTTGAAATCAAAATTTTGAAGAAAAACAAAAAGAATTGAAAAAATTCATCAAAAAACACATTTGTTTGTTTTATAATTTTCTTTTTTTTTTGTAATATTGGGTTGGGGAGAATGAGTCGGCGCCCAACTTTAAAGGGACTTTTTGCACACATAAAGCCTTCTTTAAACATACGTTTGGTTTCATCAAAAGGATCCACTATTTCTCTACAAAATGACTTTTGAGAGATTCCACAAAGCTTTTCTTTCGTGGAGTTTATGAACTTCCAAACGCAGCTGGTTAAAATGGCAAAGAGTCCGACTCATCATTTGAACAGTTTCTTTCACATAAACCTTCTTTGGTGTTTATATAAAAAAGATAGAGCACATTCAATTACTTAAGTTGCCAAATTTGCAGGAAGATCCCACCAATGGTTTTTTCTAGATGACAGTTTGTAGTTTTTGTGAAAAAATGGCTTTTTCTTGAGCGGAGGGGCTGTTTGAATTTTCTTTTAAATGTCATTTTGTAGAGAATTAGTTAACCATTCTACTGATATCAAACGCATATTATTTGACGAAGTCGAATAGAACTTTTAGACATTTTTTTCATTTGTGGCGCCGACTCATTCTCCCCAAACCAATAGTTCCGGTAGTTAGCACTTACCGTGAGCAAATTTAACGGCGATCGCATTTTTCGTCTTATTTCGCGCAGACGTGCGTTTTGTTTCATTAAGAGGCTCCACTATTTCCCTACAAAATGCTTTTTGAAAGATTCCACAAAGCTTTTCTTTCGTGGAGTTTTGCACTCCCAAGCACAGTTAATCAAAATGGTAAAGAGTTCTTGACTCATTGAACAGTTGAACATTTGAACAGTTTCTTCCACAAAAACCTCCTTTAGTGTTTAGATAAAAATATCGAGCATACTCAATTAGATAAGCTGCCTAACTTTCAGGAAGATCCCTCCAAACGTTTCCTTTAGATGACAGTTTATAGATTTTGTGAAAAAATGGCTTTTTGTTAAGGCTAAGGCGCTGTTTGAGTTCTCTTTTAAATGCGATTTTGTAGAGAATTCGTTAACCTTTCTATTAAACGCTTATTATTTAACGAAGTCTTCTAGAATTTATCGAAATTTCTTTGATTTTCGGCTTCATTTCATTCTCCGTAACCCAATAACTAGTTAGAACTAGCTAATGAGTAATATTTGAACTAGCGTTACCAAAACTGCAGTAGATATTGTAAATTATGCAACTTTATCAGATAGTATTGATTTAAATGTTTGCTTTTAGAATTGCGAACGGAAAAAGGACTGAATTAAGAAGTAGACAAAGGTATTCAGCGAATTCTCAGCCCAAAGATATTTGGGGATCAGATATGCTTTGATCATGTGTTTCATTATCAGCTGATTCTGTTTTCGAAATCGTACCGAGGCATAGAATTGTAAAATAGTATTTTTAACTAAGTAAACTAGTGTGCGGCACTAGAACCAGGGATAGTAAGACCTCAATAGATATTTTGGCTTATCTACTCCACTTTGAAGTGCTTATTTGAAAATCTTGAAACAAATAAATGGGCACAATGATCAATCTCACCTCCGCTTTTTATCAATTCTCATCAAATTCCATTTATAGCTTCACAAATCACGCAGATCAGAAGAAAATTTTGTTGAAATGGCCACAGAATGTCTTTGAAATGTTTGATGAATCATTGATAGTTAATGAAGGAGATTAATGGAAAGGAAAAGAGAAGCCGATTGAATTAGGTGTGAGAAAGTGACGGGAAAAGTAGAAAGAAGAGATAAGAGGAGAGGGTGAAAATGGTATAAGCTGTCTATAAAATGCTTGAATGATTTGCGGTGCTGTGAACTCAGCGATCACTTCGAAATTTTGTGTTTTGCCCATTCGAATTTCATTAAGTTTATTTCATTTATAAGATTTTTAAAGAAATTTTTACTTCATTTACTTGTTTATTGAATGATATACAATTACACGGTTTGTCTCATTAGACGTTACACGTTACTCATTACACGGTTTATCGATTTGAACAATATATTGAGATAGTGAAAAGGGAATTCAACTCATTTGAAGCTAGGATTGTACATCGACAACTCATGAAGCTGGAATTGTTCATTTGAATTTTTTTTGTTCAACCATGGAATTTTTTTTGGATCTGTCTTCGCACTTAGGTGTTCCCATTTGCGCAGCTCACAACCTGCTTCCACATTTCTCTATCCCTTGCTATTGTCATCTAGTGTTTCCTATCTTGGTTGTTCCTGGTTCGAAGTCTTCGATTTGCTTGTGCTGATGGTGGCTGCACTCTAGCCATCCTTTCTCTGACCGTCGCTGCCGCTCTTGTGCTCCACCTCGTTGCTGGTCTTCCGATGGGCCTCTTCTGGTCTCGTGGTAGCCATTCTGTGATCCGTATCGTTCATCAGTCGTCTGTTCTTCTGGCTACGTGGCCGGCCCATCTGAGTCTTTTTCTCTCGATCACTTTCACTGGATCTCTGAGTCCCCGAGAGGTGGCGCATATCCGTACTTCTTAGGTCTTGGTCGAGTAGGGGATAGATCGTTAGCAATAGCAAGGGGTAGATCGTTTTCCTATTGTGCCCGAGGAGGTTCCTTTCAAGGGCTCGATGCGTCGTTCTCAGGACTCGTTCGGTGGTCTGTGTCGTGGCCCAGGTCTCTGTCCTGTGGCAAAGTGCCGGAAGGACGGCGCTATCGAAGAGGTGTGCCCGAGTCCTCTGATGATTCTTGAGTATCTTTGTGACTTCTTTGATGCTTCCTAGTGCTGTCCAAGTCGCTCGTCTTCGTCTGCCGCCTGCTGTCTGCTGGCGCATATCCATACTTCTTAGGTCTTGGCCGAGCTGCGTTTTCTTATTGTGTCCTTCAAGGGCTCGATGCGTCGTTCTCAGGGCTCGTTCGGTGGTCTTGGTCTAGCTGCGTCTTCCTATTGTGGCGAATTGCCACTGCTCTGCAGTTAATCAAAAATTCAATACAAGTAAAGTTCAAAGTTGGTGGAAAACACCGAATCAGTCACTAAATGATATTCAGTGTCCGGTTGTTGTAGCGTAGCAAAACATATTAAGCTTGCTTTGGGGTTTTCCCTGTGCATCATCTCACATTCAAGGTTGATTAATTGTGAATGCCAGTTGCTCTAGTTTGAGGAGTTGCCCTAACAAGGGAAGTTGGAAAAGTTTCAAGAACCACATTCAAACGGACACGGCCAAAGTATGGCACCATATTTCACCTATTGTGCTAAGGAATTTCTAAGAATTCAAATAAAATTTGGGTATTATTTTATAATTTTCGAGCTTCTCTTGCAGCTCCTCCTCTCGGATTTAGTTTTTCCTTACCTTTCAACTATCAATTTACATTTAAAGCTTGGTTTATAACTTGTTTAAATTGTTTAAAATGTTTTTATTTGCCTTTCTCGTTTGTTCATGATGCTTTCAATTCATTGACAATAAAACAGATGACAAATCGGATATCATTGTTCATCGGGATCATCGTCTGTGTGAACGGGCAGCTATTTGATGCTTTCCCCAAAAATCCTAGAAGTTTATGGGCAAGAGATGAAATAGAAAATCAAGAAGTAAATGATTTTTAATAGTTTTTTTGGCACATAAATCTTTTGAGAGTTCAAATTTCACTTTAGATCATGAAACAAAGTGTGAAAAGTTTCGAGATGAAAGATTGGCTTTTTCGAGTGATGAAGGTAGCTTGAATTGTTATTGTTATTATTGTTAGCTAAAATTGTTAGCTGAAAACCAAATTCTTATTTTTATTTGAATATTTAGCGTGCTGCTAATGAGAATTCGGTCAATATAGCATGCATGGAGGATTTGACAGATCTCGAGGAATCATTTAGGAGAATTGAGAGTGCTTTGACCAAAAAGAACGTCACGATGACCGATTTTGATAAAAAAGTCACAATACAAGGTGAGTGGAAATGAAAATTTCGTCTATTTCGTCTATTTCGGCTATTTCGGCAAAATTCCCTTCTAGAATGAAGCAGGATTCTATAAAATCTTTTCGAAAGGACTGTCCTTTATAAAAATGGTCGAATAGAACAGCAAACTGCTCTCCAAATCTGCAAAATATTCAGCTATTCAATTAGCCTAGTTAAATTTATTTGCTAAAATAAATTTGACGGTTATTTTGATAGTTTTAGCTTACCGTAAAAGCTGTAATAGGAGTCCCAGGAGCAGTATTTTTTCGATAATATTGGGTTGGTGAATTGAAAACTGCGAGCTATTGTCATATGTGACAGTTTGAGCACTTTCTTCGAAAGAAACCCATTTTGGTGTTAATAGAAAAGTTGTAGAGAATCAAAAATCAAGCTTATATCCAAATTTTCAGAACGATTCAAAAACTGGTTTTCAAGAAACGCCAAATTTACGAATCTTCACAAAACTTGCATTTTAAGCGAAACTACTAAGTGTATCTTTTTGAAAATTTGGCTATAAGCCTAATTTTTGATTCTCTACAACTTTTCTGTTGACACCAAAATGGGTTTCTTTTGAAGAAAGTGCTCAAACTGGGATCTCCAGTCTCCATCTCCAGTCTCCATCTCCAGTCCTCGATTTTTGAGTCTCACACTTGTCTCACACACAAACCAAAATCCTACTACGAAAGAGGAATCCGCAAATTGCCTGTAAAATGGGCAGAAGTCGTCAATAATAATGGAAATTATTGTCGAATGAATTCATCTTGGTTTTATTAAACTAAAGTTGAATAAATTTTAGTTCAAAGGCCCGCAGTTTTCAATTCACCAACCCAATACATTCTGCAATTCACGGGACGAAAACTGGAAAATATAAGGTCATTACAACTCGTTAAAGAAACAATTTTCAATTAATTTAACTACAAAAAACAAGTAAAATCCAACAAAAATCAACAAAATCAAGCAGAAACTTAAAAATCTGGATCAACTGATATATCAGATCTAAATCCTTCCTCACATATCACATCACACGTATATAAGATCCAATTTCTTTTCACGCTACTTCAGCGTCATGTCGATCTTCAATCCAGGAGCTCATCGACTTCTTTTTCTGACTTCGACTTCGACAAGTGCATCTCTGAGTAACTATAGTCCTGTCGGAATCTGACCATCGGGCTTAAAACAGTGAATCAGCTCATCGTCGGCACCACTTGAATCGATTCCAACACCACAGCTTTTCAAGGATCGACGAATGACTTCTTCCGAAATTAAATCCCAACCATCAGCAACCTATTTTAAGTAGATTTTCATTCCAGGGGACTTTGGGTTCCCACGCTTTTGTGAGTTCAAATGCTTACAGCAAAATCTGATCCTCGTAAATACTCAGTCAAAAGTAGATGCAAATTTTTCTATGCAAATTTGCGGAAGCTATTATTGGAGGGGGTCGCTATTTTTTTGTTGGCCTACTATTACAGCTTTTACGGTAAAAAACTAAATACCTTAGTTGAAGAGTCATTTGCAGAGTATGAAATAGGTTTTAGTAAATTTAAAGTTTTCAGTTATTGATTCAAATGGTGCCTACAACGGTGGATTCTTACGAGGAAGAAAAGTGTTTCAAGGTTTGTGAGTAGTTGTACTTGAATCTTTTCTAAGAGTACATGAATCTTTTCTAAGAGTACATGAATCTTTTCTAAGAGTACATGAATCTTTTCTAAGAGTACATGAATCTTTTCTAAGAGTACATGAATCTTTTCTAAGAGTACATGAATCTTTCCTAAGAGTACATGAATCTTTTCTAAGAGTACATGAATCTTTCCTAAGAGTACATGAATCTTTCCTAAGAGTACATGAATATTTTCTAAGAGGTTTATGGTCGTGTCCGTTCCCTTAAAAAATTACGTTCCTATTTGCATTTAATTTGCGGCGCTTTTTCGTCTCATTCTCTCCCCCCACCCAAATTTCTTTTTTTTCTTGTGTTCGTGGCTTCTCGCGCTTTTGGGTTTGAAGTTTTGCCTTCGTTTTTTCGGGATTTGATGTTTCTCTTCACGCGCACGCTGTTTTTGTAATGGGTATCGTTTTTTTAACGTTTTCGTTATCGTTTTTCTCATTCTGTACTGGTAAACCGTAAAATTATAAATTCGATTTAATTTAGATTACCCTTAAGGTTTTAAATAGCTGATCTGTTCTTTTTTAGATAGCTGATCCGTCAGCTCCGAGCCAAACTGATATTTTAGTTACTATTGTTATTATTGAATGATTTGTCTATTCTTATGTAAATGTGTTCTCCCCTGTGCTTTTCCCTTTCTTCGTCGAGAATGCGCAGTCCTTGGGATTGCCTAGGAGGACAAGTGAGGCTCACGCTTGGAGTCCTCCCATCCCCTTCCACTCATTTGTAATCTATTCGACTTATCGTACTGCTGTAGATAAAGATACATATCTTTATTTACAGTAGTACGATAAGACGGTTCAGGTCGGTCATTTCACAGAGACTCCCCTCTAATACGCTGGAGCAGTTGAGTTGGGCTGTCGGGGTGTTAGAGATGGCGGGATATCAAAAGGATCCACTCTCTTTAGCTTAACCCAAAATCTAGTCCATATCCGTTTACTCTTAGAAACGAACAGGTCTAAGATTATAGAAAGAATTTGCTAATATTTGTGTTGCTATCGACGAAGCGTCAATCCGTTGTGTACTCACATCACGAGTGTTAACCTTATGCTGTATGTTGCGTGTTCTTGTTTTGTGTTCTTTTTATGTTTTAAGCGTTCTTATGTCCTAAGAGCTTTATATTTTTATGATTTATTAGACTTTTTTCACAAATTCATGATTCCAGGTCGTTTCGATGAGTGTCGATTGATCAAATATAAAGCTTCGAATCGATCACATACCTGGGAAGGCGATGTTTTTAGGTGGATAAGAATTTTTCTTATAAGTTACTAAAACTTATCTTAATATGATACAATTTTACATAAAATTTTAGATATTTCATCGGCCAACAAGATGGGAATAAATGCAAAGATGGAACAGTACTTGTTGCTTTCGATCAATGTCTCCCCAAATCGTGCAGTGTTTCTGAATTGAGGAAATTGCTCGAGAAAGAAGGTTAGTTTTGATTAGATAACTTTGATTAGATGATTAGATAACTTTGATTAGATGATTAGATAACTATTATCAGATTTTTAACTATTTAAGCTATTGTTTAAGCTATTATTTAAACTATTATTTAAACTACTATTTAAGCTACTATTTAAGCTACTATTTAAGCTATTATTTAAGCTATGATTTAAGCTATTATTTAAGCTATTATTTAAACTATTATTTAAGTTATTATTTAAGTTATTTAAGCTACTATTTAAGCTACTATTTAAGCTATTATCATCTTTAGAGCAAATCTGTGTTGTGGTATTAGCTAGACTTCGGAAAACAAAACTTAACCAAAACCAAAACTACCAAAACCAAAACCATAACAAAACCAAAACCAAAACCAAAACTAACCAAAACTGGCCAATATCTCGCGACTGGGAGGAGCTAGCGAAAATCTGTTTGCAGATTTGAAATCAGCATCCAAAAATCTATCCCATAGGCTATTTTTTGTTTCGAAATTTCGAGGTCGTGTTTTGGTCCTTTTTTCGGCCGCGAGATTTTGTGGAGTGAGAAAAAGTGAAAGGCTAATTTGCATTTTACATTAAAATTTGCATTTTGCAATTTTAAATTTACATTTTACAATTTTAAATTTACATGTTAATTTATATGCAAATTGAGTTTTGGTTTGTTTTGGTTTTGGTGTTTTGGTTTTGGTTTTGGTTTTGGTTTTGGTTTTGGTTTTGGTTTTGGTTTTGTTTGCCGAAGTCTAGTATTAGCTCTTATTTAAGCTATTTAAGCTACTATTTAAACTACTATTTAAGCTACTATTTAAGCTATGATTTAAACTATGATTTAAACTACTATTTAAGCTATTATCATCTTTAGAGCAAATCTGTGTTGTGGTTAACAATGAGTATGCTCGTGTGAACAAGGCCAATTGGTTTTCGTGGTTTCTTGGGTTTGTTATTTGATATGAATCTAAATTTTGATAAAATTATTTACAATTTCTCAAATCAACTAATTTTTAGAATTTTGATGGCCATCATCGTTGTTGTAAGTGTTTTCGCTGGAGTGGTTGACTATTTTCTTTCCAATCACATCAAAGGGACATCGATTGAGAAATGTTGGTTTGATGTTGGACTTAGAAATACATAAAGATAATAGTTCTGACATTTTTTAATAGAATTTAGCTTTTATTGTCAATTTTTGCCTTTTTATCAAAAATAATTGCCTATTTTAGTATTGTGGTATCGTTTGTTCATGGCGTTTTCCCTGTCAAGCAACGTGAAAGGAATCATGAATGTTAAAGGAACGAATAAGGTACTCGATTTGTGAAGTGAATACATTGGAGAGAATGAAATGGCGCCGAAAATCAAAGAAATTTCAATAAATTCTAGCAGACTTCGTTAAATAATAAGCATTTAATATAAAGGTTAACGAATTCTCTACAAAATCGCATTTAAAAGAGAACTCAAATAGCGCCTTAGCTTAACAAAAAGCCTTTTTTTTTTACAAAATCTATAAACTTTGGTTCTGATCTTGATTTGTGAAGCTATAAATGGAATTTGATGAGAATTGACAAAAAGCGGAGGTGAGATTGATCATTGTGCCCATTTATTTGTTTCAAGATTTTCAAATAAGCACTTCAAAGTGGAGTAGATAAGCCAAAATATCTATTGAAGTCTGACTATCCCTGGTTCTAGTGCCGCACACTAGTTTACTTAGTAAAAAATACTATTTTACAATTCTATGCCTCGGTACGATTTCGAAAACAGAATCAGCTGATAATGAAACACATGATCAAAGCATATCTGATCCCCAAATATCTTTGGGCTGAGAATTCGCTGGATACCTTTGTCTACTTCTTAATTCAGTCCTTTTTCCGTTCGCAATTCTAAAAGCAAACATTTAAATCAATACTATCTGATAAAGTTGCATAATTTACAATATCTACTGCAGTTTTGGTAACGCTAGTTCAAATATTACTCATTAGCTAGTTCTAACTAGTTATTGGGTTACGGAGAATGAAATGAAGCCGAAAATCAAAGAAATTTCGATAAATTCTAGCAGACTTCGTCAAATAATAAGCGCTTAGTAGAAAGGTTAACGAATTCTCTACAAAATCGCAGTTAAAAGAGAACTCAAACAGCGCCTTAGCCTTAACAAAAAGCCATTTTTTCACAAAATCTATAAACTGTCATCTAGAGAAAACGGCTGGAGGGATCTTCCTGAAAATTTGGCAGCTTATGTAATTGAGTATGCTCTATATTTTTATCTAAACACTAAAGGAGGTTTATGTGGAAGAAACTGTTCAAATGTTCAACTGTTCAATGAACATTCAACTGAACTCTTTACCATTTTGACTAACTGTGCTTGGGAGTGCATAAGCTCCACGAAAGAAAAGCTTTGTGGAATCTCTCAAAAGGGATTTTGTAGAGAAATAGTAGAGCCTTTTAATGAAACAAAACGTGTCTTTAAAGAAGGCTTTATGCATGCAAAAAGTGTCTTTAAAGTTCTTTAAAGTCGGCGCCATTTCATTCTCCCCAACCTAATATATTGATCTTTCTTTAAGATCAAAAGGAATTCATTTAATGAATAGATAGTACTATGAATACTATGAACGATGATCAGATCAGAGCACCCAATTTCAGCCCGGTCAAATCGGTTCCCTTCATTGTATGCGTTTCTTCTCGATGGTTTGGGTTATCATGGGACACATGAATTCGAATGTTGTCGGTGCTGCTTGTAAGTTAATTGATGAATAAGATGAATAAGAATGAGAATATTAAACAATAAAAATGCTAAGATGATAATTAAAGTAGTTGCTAGAGGAAGATGGACATCAACTTTAACTATTGGGTTGGTGAATTGAAAACTGCGGGCTATTGTCATATGTAATAGTTTGAGCACTCTCTTCAAAAGAAACCCATTTTGGTGTCAATGGAAAAGTTGTAGAGAATCAAAAATCAAGCTTATATCCAAATTTTCAGTACTATTCAAAAACTGGTTTTCAAGAAATGCGAAATTTACGAATTTTCACAAAACTTGCAACAAAACTTGCATTTTAAGCGAAACTACTAAGTGTATCTTTTTGGAAATTTGGGTATAAGCTTGATTTTTGATTCTCTACAACTTTTCTATTGACACCAAAATGGGTTTCTTTTGAAGAAAGTGCTCAAACTGGGATCTCCAGTCTCCATCTCCAGTCCTCCTTTTTTGAGTCTCACACTTGTCTCACACACAAACCAAAATCCTACTACGAAAGAGGAATCCGCAAATTGCCTGTAAAATGGGCAGAAGTCGTCAATAATAATGGAAATGATTTGGAATGAATTGATGGCTTTATGTTGAATAAATTTTAGTTCAAAGTCCTACAGTTTTCAATTCACCAACCCAATAGAAGTGATTGTGGTTTAATTAAATTGAATAGGAAGCGCTTAATGGGCTAAAGCTAAATAATATTTTAAAAATTGAATTTTCAGCAAGCGAAGATTTGATTAATGTATTATTTGTCAGTAGTTAGTAATATAATTTGTTGGTATACGACAACATCAGAGATCAGACAAGGTAACAGTTGGTGGACAAGCAGTTCCAGCTTCCCAATCCTCAACTTATCATCAACCATTGTTCTTAGCATCTCGTTCCATCGTTTCCATAAAATTTGAAGATTTAAGATTCCGTTTCTTTAGTTAAAGCAATAAAATCGAATATTTAGCCAACGTGTTGGACATTCTCGATGCTTCAAAAGCTGCTCAATTCTATATTTTGTCAAATTCTTTCTTCTCTGTCGACACTTTTTTCTTCATTGGTGGTGTTTTATTGGCCTATATGTGGTACGAAAATATAGAATAATCTGACATTAGAACCTTACATTACAAATATGGAATAATCTTACAATCTAATAGTTTCTAATCCAATAGTTTATGCAGGGTGGCGCGCAAATTACGGAAATCAATATATTTCTGGTTTAAAAACCACTTTTTGTTGTTAACTCTTAGGCTTATATCTTAGGTAACAAGTTTTTTCTTTATACCCCAAAAAATCTTTAGATCTTTATATCCCCCTATCCCAAAAAACAAGAAAAGTGAGCTCTTTTCAAAAGGATCTCCTTCCGCTGCAATACAAGATTGAAGACGGCGCGGAAAGGCGTCAACGGTGGCAGAAAGATAGGCGACGTCGAGTCGAGACGAGTCGAGATTCTGCTTATTGGGTACAATAAGATTGTGATTCTACCGACACAAGCAAATCTACTCACCAATCAGAACATTCTGCTCGTTTCGTCACAAGACACAAGTTCGACTCATCGATTTTGTGAAACATTTGTGCTTATGTAACTTTTTTTGTAAGACGTCGAGTTCACCCTAGACATTTTGAAGCGATTTCTTCAAAGAATCAATGGTTGAATGAGCCTTAAACCATGCCTTAGCCTCTAGGACGCTCCAAACACTGAAATTCAATCCCATCGAACGTCTTGAGATACCCATTTTTGAGGCTAATGTTCGTTAGGAACGAGCTTCTTTGTGGCGTTTTTTGTGACGAGACTTTCGAGCACTTTCTTCACTTTCTTCACTTTCCTTTGTTGTCACGGTCGTCCTTGGACCTCGTCCTGGTCGGAATTCGTTCGGAATTTGTTCTCAAAGGTTTGTAGCGTTGAATTTTCTTTGAAACAACAGACTTAGCCACCATCAATCGACTGGCGATGCTTTTCTGCCTCATTCCTCGTTTTTAGAAGTTGATGATCGAATCCCTGTGCTCCGATTTCTTCGCCATTCTGAAATTTCAAAAATAACAGCAAATAAGATGTTGCCAAAATCTTAAATGACAAGAAAAATAGCCAAAAATTTGAGTATGCGCCCTCATCATCATCATGAAGAACGCGCCAAGTCAGTTTCCGTAGTTGCGCTTCACCCTGTCAATTACCGTATTCTATCTAATAGTAGTGCACCCCGCCGAGCCGAGTTGATGACTATTTTATGGTTTTGAAGTTTTCGCAGAAGCTCAACACTCAAATCCCTCACAAGATCTCATCGGCAGCTACATTTTCCGACCCCACATCGATAGGTTCTGATCAGCGGCTCTCGAGATTTCGAGGAATTTAGGCGAAGCTTAGGGTGCACTATTATTAGAGAGAATACGGTGAATGCGATTATATTGTAGATTGTAAATTAAATAACTTAGGTTCAAAGAGTTCAAAAAAGACCGCCGCACGATGATGTCTTCAAAAGGATGGCTGATGTTTTATGTGCATCGAATTTTACGGTATATTGGAATAGCTAAAATAAAAAACATCGTTTTATTTACAAAAATTTGCATATCATAAATATCTTTCAGTCTATCACCACCCTACTACTTCGCTTTCTTCTTCTGGTCGTATATCTTCTTGCCAAATTTGCCCGACTCGTCGAATAATCTCTATTATAGGTATTTAAAAGTTTCTTTGGTATTTTAAAGTCCTATTTTTTCCTCAATGATTATTCAATTGGCTGAATGTCATGATTTTCAAAGAGCTATTGAAAGATGTTCAGTTGATAACAACTAGTGAAGGAGATTCAGTTGATTACAACTAGTGAAAGATATTCAGTTGATTACAATTGATTCGTCAATATAGTCTTTTTGAGAACGCTTTTATACATTTCAGACTATATTATTGATATGCTAAAGAAACAAATGATTTAGTAAATCACAAAGAAAGAGATGAAGAGTTTGAAGATTTCGGATTGGCCCCGCATCGGCCTTGAAAATGTTTCAGTCTTTGAAAAGGCTCAAATTCATCAATATAGTCTTTTTGAAAAGGTTTTTATATATTTCAGGCTACATTATTGATATATAAAACAATCAAATGATCCAGTAAAACCAGTAAAACAGTAAAACAATAAAACAGATCAGTATTAGCTATTTAAACACCGATTTTACAAGTTTTATCATTCCTACATTTGGTATTTACAAGAAAAACTGTTATTTTATAGACTAAAGACTTGATAGACTAAAGAATCGAATGATTCAGTGAAGGATTTTTGTTGGCGTTTGAAGGCATCCTGTATGGATATCGGATATCTTTATTTTCGGAAAAGATCAAAATCAATTTCAGTGGTGATGATGAAGATCCATGTCGAAAATTCTGGTGGCCAGCGATGCTTTATGTGCAAAATTTGGTTCACTACACAAAAGATCAGGTAAAAGAACGTTTTTCGAAGTTTTTCTGTGTTTAACGTCTCACCTTTGTCACCAAATCTCTAACCTCAATTCGTCAAACAGTTTAAACAGCTCTGAATTTGATGAAAGTCTCTTCATAAGACAATAAATTTCAGTGTTATGGTATTTCTTGGTATCTGGCTGCCGACATGCAAATGTATGTCTTCTCACCAATTCTGCTCATCGCTTTGGGAATGAATGTGGTAAGAAATGGTCACGATTTGGTTATCAATTTTATTTGGTTGGCGATTAAATTCTAATCCTTTGTCTCTATTTTCTCTAACTCTCTGAGCAATTAGAGACAACCGCTGATATGGGGGTTTTTTAAAATCATTCTTCTACTATTGATCACTAGAAATAGCGAATGATTTTGTGTTATTTACTTCCTTAAATTTTTATACATTCTCATAGAAAGAGATGAAGAGTTTGAAGGTTTCGAATTGGCCTCGCATCGGCCTTGAAAATGTTCCAAGTCTTCGAAAAGGCTCAAATTCATCAATATAGTCTTTTTGAAAAGATTTTTATACATTTCAGACTATATTATTGATATACAAAGCAATCAAATGATTCAGTAAAACCAGTAAAACTGGCTTTGCTCAATAAATGTCAAGATGTGATACTTAAAAATGGTGATTATCCTGAATAAATCTATTCTCTAGTTTTTATAAAATCATAGTGCAAAGATTTTCTTAGAACTTCGTTGTCAACCTAATATTTAGCCTATTCTTTTCAGCATCTTGGTCTATCTGTTGCCGGAGTGATCCTTTTCCTGTCAACTTCGGGCAATATTGCAACCATTTACAAATTTCGATACCCACCAACTATTGCTGTCTTCGATAAGCCCGACCCGAAGATGACAAATTATGAGTGAGTTGGCTAGCTTAATAAGTACTTACCGTAAATACTGTAATAGTACCCCACCGCCCTCGTACAGTCGCGTAGTCGCATTTCCGATCAACGACGAGACAATGGCTTTTGGGGTAATCTTAATTGTAGTTTGTGCAGTAGAATGAAAACCCATCCTTTCTGGCGTATTAAAAGTATTTTTTACCTGGTATGCCAGCTCTGATCTGGCTTCTGGCCACACCTGACTAGCCTGGCTTACAGGACTTACCGTAAATACTGTAAAAGTACCCCACCCCACCCCGTACAGTCGCGTAGTCGCAAAAGCTTTTTAGTATTTCATTTTTTTCAAAGCGCCCGTACTTTCAAAAAATGCGTCTTTGGTATCAAAAAATAGCTGAAATTTAGGGCCATTTTTTAGGTAATTTAGTACTGATTTATGCTACAATGCACGCTTAGGTATCAAAAAATAGCCCTGAATTTCAGCTATTTTTTGATACCTAAGCGCGCATTGTAGCATAAACCGGTGTCGAGAAAAACTCATTCAAAGCTAGACTACGAAACACTCCGCACCGTCATTATGGGGGTGGGGTACTCTTACAGTATTTACGGTAAGCTTAATCTTTCAATCTCCATTTCCAGTAACTATGGCTTTCTCATCTATCAATCAGCCTGGATTCGTTGTCAAATCTATGTGATTGGAATTCTGGTTGGATACTTTCTACAGATGAAGAAATCAATCAAAATCAACAAAGTAAGAGAAGTTTCTTGAAATATTTTCTAATAAACACAATGTAGTACCTAAATTTGGGCCTTCTCTTTGCCACATTTGCATTTATGTTATTTGATGTGATGATTCTTCACGCAGTACCGAGAGAGTGAGTTTTTACATTACAGCAGCTCAATTTAATGGTATCCGTTAGCTGAATTGATTGATCATTTTTGATTCTCCAATTATTGACTTACTGTTATCAGCTTACTGTTATCGGCTTACTGTTATCGGCTTACTGTTATCGGCTACTGTTATCGGCTTACTGTTATCGGCTTACTGTTACCGGCTTACTGTTATCGGCTTACTGTTATCGGCCCACTGTTATCGGCTTACTGTTATCAGTATACCCGATTTATAATAAATCACCAATTCAGCAAAGTGATGCCCCTATTCTGGCGTTCGATCTACTCAGCTTTCTCGAAACCTTTATGGGGTCTCTGTCTCTCATGGATCACCATCTCTTGCTATTACGGATATGGAGGTAAATGATTTCCTTGTAAGAACTAAAGCCCTTTTTCGCAGCTATTCATGCCAAACTTGTGTTATTTATTTGAAACTTGATTCGAACCTGATCGGAATGAATCAATCAGATTCTCCAGCTTAGCGAAGAGTCAACCAATCGAGCTAATTCTTTCCGGATTATCAAATTGAATATTTCTCTTGTCATGTGTTTCCTGGGTTTGATCAGACTTTGCTTTTTTTTCTAAACTTTTGCTAGAGCGCTGCAAAGTTGCGATACGCGTTTCCTGCAGCGGAATCGCGATTTTCTAGTTTTTGTCACTAGTTTCAATGGCTCAAAATCAAAGAAAACCAGCTTCATTTACTTCGTTTTATTATTTCCAAAATCTAACTCATTTTTACTAGAAAACATTGAGTTTTGATTAGGAAACAAAGTTTAAAATGTGAATTTGAACTGAGTGCGGGTAATTGTGCGCCACCCCGTAAAGGCACGATTAAAGTAATCCGACGAAAAAAAGGGGTAGGCTAGTTTCTGCAACTTTTTTTGCCAGACTGGGTCGTTTGTGCAACTCGGCATAACTTTCTTCTAAGTGGGCCAATCTTTATGATTTTGGTTTTATTTTATTGCACTTATTGAGATCTACAAAATGAAACCAAAATTATAAAGATTGGCCAACTTAGAAGAAAGTTATAGCGAGTTGCGCAAAAAAAATTGCGGAAATTAGCCTGCCCCGAAATTTGAAATCTTATTAGACTAAAACTAGCTGAAAAACTCATCTAAAAAGCTGATTTCATCTTTTAATACCAAATACAACTAAATAGATGAGTTTTTAGCTTTTTCAGCTAGTTTTAGTCTAATAGGATTTAAAATTTCGGGGTAGGCTAGTTTCCGCAACTTTTTTTGCACAACTCGCCATAACTTTCTTTTAAGTAGGCCAATCTTTATGATTTTGGTTTCATTTTGTAGATCTCAATAAGTGCAATAAAATGGCAACTAAATCATAAAGATTGGCCCACTTAGAAGAAAGTTATGGCGAGTTGCACAAATGACCCAGTCTGCGCAAAAAAAAATTGCGGAAATTAGCCGACCCCAAAAGAAAGAGTCACGATTTAGAGGAACAGAATTTCAACTTTTAGCAAACGGTTTCAACTTTCCGGTTGAAACATTCCTATTGAAAGGTAACCTCATTATTCCAGGACTTCTCAACTCATTCATGTCGTGGCCTGGCTGGACCCCTCTTGGTCGTCTCACCTATTCGGCCTATCTCATTCACCTAATCGTTGTCACTTATCTGCTTATCATTCATCCATCGGAAATCGTTTGGGGAAGCTACACTGACATTGTAAGTGAGAAAAGGAGGCAGAAAAAAAAGTTATTCTATATTGATTTCATATGTTGTAGCCGATTTTGAATGAAATCTTTTTGGGAACTCAAAAAGTGACCAAATCACTTCAGCTGAAGAAATCTCTTCTTTTTACCTGAATCCCACTCTGATTTTTCTTTGCCAAAAGCTTTTTGAAATATAGGCAAGTTTAAGAAAAATCTGGGAAGAATTTATGGCTTGTTTTTTTTTGAGAAATCACCGAACAATCTTTGCTGAGAACTTTCTTTCCAACTTAATATTTAAAGTTTTTGTTTAGTTCTCAAATTTCATCGTCCCATCCGTTGTGATCACTTATCTCTTAGCGATTTTGTGGAGTTCTTGTTTCGAGGTGGCCATGGGAAAGGTTTGAGATCGGCTTTGAGATCGGCTTTGAGATCGGCTTTGAGATCGGCTTTGAGATCGGCTTTGAGATCAACTTTGAGATCGGCTTTGAGATCGGCTTTGAGATCGGCTTTGAGATCGGCTTTGAGATCGGCTTTGAGATCGGCTTTGAGATCGGCTTTGAGATCAACTTTGAAATCAACTTTGAGATCAACTTTGAGATCAACTTTGAGATCAACAATTGATTTAAAAAATAAGTTAGTTTCAGGAAATTTGAATTTTCAAGAGTTATTGAAAACTTTCAGATAGAAATAATTCTAATTGGTGGTCGAAGACGGGCAGTCGATCCTCTCAAAAAGAGAGATGAGAATGAAAGAGACGAGAAAATGGGAAATCGAGATCAAAATGGGGTAAGAACTTCAAAAGTTGTCGTGGAACTTCAAAATTTCAGTTTTTATAGTTAATTTGAAGTGTATTTAGTACAATTTAAAGTAAATTACTTTATTTTCAGCTTTCCAACGGTGAAACGGTGTCCCCGATTAAAACTGCGCCAATTTCATCGAAAGACGAAACATGGTCATAATTGAAAAGCTTTTTTGAGTCTGCTGTAGAAGATTTTTGAATCGGCTCTATATAAATAAAGATTTACTCATTTTCACAATACACTAAATTGGATTTGAACTTTAAATTATAGTTCTATGATTCGATAACATTCTTTAAGCAATAACCATTGGGAAATAAGCCGAAAGAAGACCAATTCAGGATTCGAAAAGATTCCACTTGAATCTTCCTAAGGATCTGTGGCAAAAACTCCGGACAATTGGAATTAGCATAGCTTAAATTAGCAACAAACGGCCTAAACACTCCATTATCTTGGCCTTTCAATGTAAAACGTCAACAAATCACTAGAATTAGCCACAAAACACGTAAATTAGCAACTAATCACTCGATTTGAGCAAAAAAACACTGCAACAGAAAGACTACCATAAGACTTTGGAATTGAAAAACGATTGGGTGAAGATGTAAAGATAATGAATGGAATGAATGGAATGAATTGAATGAATTCTAGAGCACAAATTGGAGCGATTCGATTACCGGAGACATAGAAATGGTGATCAATCAAAGAAATGGTGATCAAAAAGGAATCTTCTCCAAAAGTCGGGAACATTTTTGAGAGATTAAAGCATAAATCTCTGGTAATATATATGCTTTATTCACGGGGCAAATAGAAGCGAATCAGATAATCATAACCGCATCTAGCATATTGCTAAAATACTTTTACAAAAAAAGAAAGACAATTAAAAGTACAGTAAGACTACAGTAAGACTACAGTTAGGAAACACAGGTACAAAAAGATATAGGGCAGATTTGACATGGCAATAAGATCTAATTCTTTTACAGATACTTTCAATTTTCCTACAGACGACAGCTTATTCAAAACCCTACTACCCTAAAGTCGCGAGTATAAGTTCTGTTTGGTTTTCGCATGCAAATTGACGGCTTTCTCCGGTGCGGTGTGTCGAGGGTTCGAACCCCGCTGCAGCATAGCTTTTTTGCTTTTTAAGAACAATAATAGAAGTAAATTTATTGAGGGTTATAGCAATTTTATGCTGTTATTTGTTGCTCCGGGCGTGGCTCGGCTCGGCTCGGCGCGTCCGCCCTGCTCCTCCCCGGTGCTCAGTCTTATGGATCCCTCCCTGGTCTCTTCATCCGGCCAAAGTCCACGTCGACGGTCGAAAGAGATGCTTTCCAGCGTCTTCTTCAACACTATCGTTTGGATGTATCCATGCACATAACAAATAGCAATGGTGATAGGCTGTCACCCTGTAGTCTGTAGTATCCCGCGCTCCAAGAACAATAATAAAAGTTTATATAACAATAAAAACCCAACAAAAAGAAATTCAAAGCAATTAAAGCGAATGTAAATTAAGGCAGAACTTATACTCGGATGAACTTATACTCGAGACTTTAGGGTAATACGGTTCGGAAAGAATGATAAAGGAAAAGATGATGGGGATGAGAAACGACCGAAATTTGATAAGGATCTCGAGAACATGCTCGAGAAAATGTCTCAACAATGGAACTTCGAATGGCCGAACGGAGCATGCAATGAAACGATTCATGGTTAGTCAAACTCTGTTGAGCTAGTGACGTGATCCTCCTTGTGATTTGATCTTCCTTGTGATTTGATCTTCCTTGTGATGTGATCTTCCTTGTGATGTGATCTTCCTTGTGATGTGATCTTCCTTGTGATGTGATCTTCCTTGTGATGTGATCTTCCTTGTGATGTGATCTTCCTTGTGATGTGATCTTCCCTTGTGATGTGATCTTCCTTGTGATGTGATCTTCCTTGTGATGTGATCTTCCTTGTGATGTGATCTTCCTTGTGATGTGATCTTCCTTGTGATGTGATCTTCCTTGTGATGTGATCTTCCTTGTGATGTGATCTTCCTTGTGATGTGATCTTCCTTGTGATGTGATCTTCCTTGTGATGTGATCTTCCTTGTGATGTGATCTTCCTTGTGATGTGATCTTCCTTGTGACGTGATCTTCCTTGTGATGTGATCTTCCTTGTGATGTGATCTTCTATAAAAAGATCAATAGATCTTTTCATAGAAGATCACTTGAAAGTTGCCATAAACTTTTTTCTGTGATTTTGTAAAGCCTTGAGGTTCATTTGATTGAGTTTTGTGATTGGATTTGTCAAGCTTTTCATTCACAAATCCATAAAATTGTAAAGCTTCCTAAAGTTTGTGAAAATTTTAAGCTTTTGGCTATTTCTTCACTATAAATTTGGTTTTTAATAGATATAGAAAGTTTTTAGAATGGCAAAAATTGTTTTTAGTTTGATTTTTTGATTCTTGATCTCAATCCCTTATCTTTTTTTGGGCAAAGCTCAGTCTGGCTTCCTTTCTGGCTAATCCCGAACCTGATCGATCCATTTTCTCAAAAGGAAATCATTATTTCAGAATCATTGTTTCAGAATCACTATTTGAGAATCACTATTTGAGAATCATTATTCTGAATTCAATAGTTGACGCTATTCTGAATTTTAGCCTTAAATTCTTGACTATTCTTTTGGAATGTCGATAAAAGAGCCACCAAAGGTTTACTGAATGAAATTTTCTCTTGAATCATTCGATTTTCAGGATTTTTTATCCATTGTCTATCTGATTAGTCTACTAAATGGAATGGGCGGACTATTACCGTGGAATATGTTCATTATGATCGCTCCACAGGTTGGCAAACGAAGATATTGTAAAAATGTGATCAAAATTTCACTATATCTTTTCTTGGACACAAAAATTTGTATTTATCACCATCTTTCAAATATGTTATGCCTAAAGGATATCAAAAAATTTAAGTGAGATCGATTTGAAGAAAAGATAGAATAGTCAATACTAAAGAGCTTATTGCTTTCGATAAACAACACAGTTTAACTCGTGAGGAAGCCATTTCCTGCATCTGATCCTCTTTCCAACGGCGCGGAGATGCTCATCAATAGTAGAATTTGAAGAAAGAAACATCAACATAGGTTGTAGAAGCTCGAAATACACAAGGCCCTTGTTATTCCACCATACTGCGAGCATGACCTTTTTCCCATGAATGTCCGGTTTCACGGTCGGATTCGGCCGTTCTCCTGGTCCTAGCCATTGCCGTTTTCGAATAGTATTATCGAAATAGATCCATTTCTCATCTCCAGTAACGAGAGAATCAAAAACACATGATCTTTAACGTTGCGGATGAGAATTCCGGCAATAGCGACCCGTGAAGCCTTTTTTGCACTGCATAACTCGTGAGGAAGTCATTTCCCGCATCATATCGTCTTTCCAATGGCGTGAAGATGCTCATCAATAGTAGAATTTGAACATAGAAACTGTTGAGCAAGTTCACGCGTCATTTGACATGGATCTGATTCGATTGCAGCCCACAAAATATCGTTGTCTACCGCTTGAGGTCGACGAGAGTGTTCATCATCCTCGATTTCTCATCCTTTCATCACCATTCCGAAAGCGTTAGAACCAGGCTCGACATCGGCTTTCGGACTATACATCATTCCCAAATGCTTTGACCAAATCTCGATGGGATTCCCGGGCTGTTTTGCCCAGTTTGAAGTCGTAAAGTAGGCAGACGCTAACTTGATATTTGAAGTCGGTCATCTAAAGCAAGAAAAAAGCTCTTAAAAATAAGAAATTATCCGTTTAAAAAATTCCAAATATGCACAAGATAACGTACTTTTAAATACAGAAAGACATGTTTTAAAAGCTTCTCTCACAACAAAAATTTTAGCAACGATTGTTTATATCCGAACAACCTAATATGTTGAATTTTTTTATACAAGCAAATTAAAAACTAAAAGGATATCATATCAACTAAGGGATTTTCTTATTAACGATCTCAAAAACAATTCTTTTCCCTTACAGTACTATGTCGACTATTGGTTCACACAAAACGACATGGCCAGCCAATACGCGGGCTCATTCATGAGCTTTTTGAGTCTCGCCTCTCAACTCCCAAACGTTTCATTCAACATTTTAAATGTTATTCTTGTTATCGGGTAACATTTAACTCAAAAGTTCTCAGTTATTTCCTAGTTATTTCCTCTAGTTGGTCTCTATTCGCGCGAATCATCGGCCCACTTGTAATCAATTGTATTTGCGTGGGAATCGTCATTGCAATGGCTATTTTCTGTGAACCTGCGTTGAAAGGTAGACGAGATATTTATATATATTTTTTGTGTCTGTTTGTTATGTCATTTTTTTTGTTTACTTGTTATAACTTATTTGTTAGACATTTGATTAAATCAAGAGAATCTTTTCCCAGATATGACTTGGTTTTATGCGGTCACAATGTGCCTCGTGGTCATCATGAACATTGCCAACGGTTTCTACACTGTACGCTTTTTCATTCTATTCTCATTTTCACTCTAATCCTTTTTTTTCTTTCAAGAATTCCTGTTTTGGTCTTTTTGCCGATTTCCCTCCAAATTATATCAACGCCTTCGTGCTCGGGAGTAACATTTGTGGACTGGTCACAGCTGTTTTGAGTATTCTCTGTGCAACTGGTGAGTGATATGATAGTAAAATAGATTTATAATACAGTCATGTACAAAAGTATTGGTCCATAGCATTGGCCCATAGCATTGGCCCATAGCTTTGGACCTCAATTAGTCCAAATTATGCTCGGGAGTAACATTTGTGGACTGGTCACAGCTGTTTTGAGTATTCTCTGTGCAACTGGTGAGTGATATGATAGTAAAATAGATTTATAATACAGTCATGTACAAAAGCATTGACCCCTAGCTCTCGTGCAACCTCAATAAGTCCAAATTATTAAACATTACAGAATAAGTTTCAAGAACCCTTTGTAGCATTTTTTAGCTAGTTTACAAAAAAGATAATGTCTTTATTTTTGAAAAATAATATAATGATAGGTACTTTATTCAGGACATGAAATAAAGTGCGTAAGTTTTAACACTAATAAACATGAATTCATACACATAAACACGAAAAGGATCGTAAAAAAGGAACACAAATAAAACTGAATAATACCAATAAAAAGCAACTAATCGGTACTTGT